CACATCTGTGCTTATATCTTGGTGAAAATATTGTCTTGTAAACATTGCCTGCTTGATAAATGACAACCTTTCTTTTGGTATTCAATCCTTAAAGTTGGTTTTGCAATTGGATATTTTTCTTGATTCATATTAATTTACTAGGAACTATAAAGTGGTGAGTTCCCTATCCTTCCATATTGCAGTTGATAAGCCAGTACTTGAAGTAACTTCAAGCTGCCGTCATCAACTCCTTCCAATGCGGCATAACTCGACAAAACTCGTCGTTAGCGGTTACTGCTGCCATCCGCTACCTCCTTTTACTTGCTTTTTATTATAAGCAGGAGTTACTGTGGGTCTATTATAATCCCTGACCCCACAGAGGTAAAATAATATTAAAAATAAATCTTCCGACGCTAACGTCTGCAAAGTGCTTGTTCGTGTGTTGTAGTACTACCACTTCAAAATCTGGTTTGAGTACTACGATTGCTATCCAAGTAGTGATGCTCTCTCTTCCCTTATTATGTTGTCCTTAGAAGCATATTACTCTGTGAGGAGGGATATCGAGTCCTACTAGTTTGTAGTGTCTTGTGTATGGCTATTAAATGAGTATGATATCTATGTCGTTCATTTGACTAGAGTAGAGTAGGAGTTTGTCATTGACTATGTGGCTTCTCACAGCATTTATTTGGATTATTTTTAAATCCATCATGCAGAGTTAGGTTTCATAGTTTGTCTTTCTGCATCTTTGGATGATTGCTCTTAATTGTGATGGACAATCCTGATGATTAGAAATTTCGTTTACTTTACAGTTGACGCATTTCGGTTTCGATTTGCAGTTTTTCCAATTGTGGTATTTTTCTTGGAATGAGTATATCATACATATCTGTATATTTGTTGGTCAGTATTTCACGATATGATCGTGTTTCTGGCTGATGTAGCATCTGGATACTTGGTCGCATGTCTGTTAGTGATGGGAAAAATCTAAATTTGCTGAAGTTTGAAAATCCGGATTTATGAAGTTCGAAATCCGAAATCCGAAATCCAAATTTTACAGTAAACCCAGATTTCGGATTTGAAAACATTGAATTTATATTCTTTCAAGAATTATTTATATTAAATACAAAATAATTAAACATTTTCAAAATTAAATGGTATTTTGACCTAACCTAATTAAGAATCTCATAGATAGCCGACTCAATGTTATCATTGAAGCAAAACCGCTATATGCGAAGCTGATAATATTTACATGATTAACTTTATCACAAAAATATTCATATCATAAAACACTTCAAAATTGCATATACCTTTAGTCTATACTTGCGATCGTAAAATTGTCAACCCGTAATTTCTAGTACACATAATATATGATTTTGTAAATTTTAAATATTTAATCTACTTTGATACCTAACGACCCTAACTAAGTTAGGGAAAACCAGGTTTTTACAGTAAATTAAGAGGTTACCGACCAAAATATTACTTACGAGTATAAGAACCAAATAGATTACTTATCAGAAAATATTTAAACATTAACTGTTAATACACACTGTGTAATTCAATAAACTTACAATTAAATTATACTTTATTTTTATTTTATTTTTTTATTAAAAAAACTATCACAATATCTTTAATTTTACGAAATACATACTGACAGCTGTCTTAAAAAATGAACACATTATGATTTAATATTTAAACACTTTCACAATTTTAATTTTAATAAAATAACTTAATAATTTTTTATACATTTACCTTAAATACTTAAAAATTACCTCAAAACAAATTCAAAATAAATATTTTTAATTTAAGTACATAAAATAAACCTATAAAAAATTCATAATGATTATTTATTTTATATTATTAATGTCTATCAAAAATTTAAATCATCTTTTAATGATTTCGAATACTTACAGATCAAATTAATTTTTAATTTTACTTTGTACCCAGCAAGGTAAACTCAAAGTGATCAATATTGTACGAGTTCAACAATTTCAGACTTTCTAAATAGATTTTTCGTTTTTTTTTTTTTTTTTTATAAACTTGATAGTAAGATTTCCTAAACGATTAAATATCCTAGTATTACAATTTTAATGCCCTTACATACAAGGCTGTATTTAAAAATTTGACGCCCCATCTTACGCCGTCATCTTATATGGGTCTGAAATATAGGCACTAAGAAAGATAGAGGAAATAATATTGGACACATTTGAAAGAAAAGTTCTAAGACGAATTTATGGACGTTGTCTCGACTCAAGAACCGGAGAATGGAGAATTCGAACTAATTAAGAACTTCTAAATATGTTCCAAAGACCAAGCATTTCAAGGTTAGTCGCAAAAAGAAGATCGATGTGGGCCGGTCACGCCTGGAGGAAAAAAGAAGCAATGATAAATGCAGTAATTAAAAAGGAACCGGAAGGGAAAAGACAACTAAACAGATCACGCCTCAGATAGGAAGACTGTGTGAAAAAAGAAGTTAAGCCCAGGAGCAAACTGGAGAGAAGTAGACGAAGACAGAATAAGATGAAGATTAATTTGTTATATGGCATGGTCTTAAAAGCCAAAAAACCAAAAAGAAGATAACCTAATAGTATTTTTCCCATTTTAAAAATTGCGGAATATTATATAACTTTTATCTTAATACAACTTTTATCAATTTTAATGTTATAATTAGATATTATAATTTTTGAATCAGGTGATACTGCTTTTCCGAAATTCAAATAATTGTTTCAACACGAAATTTGGAATTAGCCGACTAATCCGTGATTGATTTACTGCGCATGCAGGTCTGGCTTTTAAACAAACATAGGTAAAATTTATATTTTGCCACCCCTTACGTATAAATATTTTTTCAAATATTTTTTTTTATACATAAAAATTGTCCAGAAAAAATGCCGTCCAAGGCGTGGGCCTATGTCACCTACCCCTTGAGCCGGGCTTGTGCACATGCACTCATGCGGATTGATCACTGACTCTGAACTCTGTTGGACCGCTTTTCGGATTTTCAATGATAAAAAGTAGGGCTCGGAAGTTGTATGAATTGCAGATTGTTCTGTATGATCTCAATTTATAGCAGATCTAGATAGAAATTTGAAGTATAAAATTGCTAGTTAGAAAATTGAAAATGCATATTTTGCATATTTGGACAATTTTAGCTAAAAAAGTGCATATTTCATTTATTTTATATGCATATTAAGCATATTTCATATTTTTCTAAAAAAATTAATTTTTTTTCTTTCTTAACTTATATATTTCAACTAATATTGAATATAAACTCAAATTATCAACGGAAGTATTTGAAATAGAAAATCTTAAAAAAGTATTGGTGGTTCAATGCAATAACTTAACTGGTAAAAGAAAACATGTATTTTTTTCGTAATTTAAAAAATATTAAAAAAATATTTTTAATTTTATTTTCAGCTCAATAAGATGTCAAAGTGCCAACCAGTTATAATTTTTTTTAGCTATAAATCGTTTTTATGTATATTATTAATTTATTAACAACATCTGGTGTATTTAATTTTTGGGATTCAGAATAATTTTTTTCATATTTATTAATTTTTTTTTTTTGCATGTTTAACATTCAACATATTTTGCAATTTTTTCGTGCATATTTTACCTTTTTTAGCCTAACAACTTCCGATCCCAATAATAAGATATGAGATGTTTTTTTTTCTTAATTTGTTTTTATATTTCTGTGGTGTGTTGTTGTTATTGCTGTTAGTAAAATCACAATGAATGATATTAACGGTTCGGAAGACATATTATGACATTGGTTCGCGGACGTTTCGCCCCCGCCGTTTCGTCCCCATCACAAAAACGAGTCCACGGACATTTCGTCCCTGTCTATTGTTAAGATAGGACATTTAGCTTTCAGGTATTATATAGATTTATTTATACACAATTATTTATATTAGATTACTTATTCTTTACAAAAAATATAAAATATCATTATCATTACTACATTTAAATTCAATACAATTTTGTTTTATTTTATTTTCGTATAATTTTTTTTTTGGCAAATTTATAATTTTATTTGTTTCGTGGTTAACAACTCCATAATTCACTGACGTACGCACAATTAAACTGACAAACTAGTACTGCGTAGTGTACTCTGTATGATATACTATTATAGTATCCAGGACAGGTATAAAATATTATTTAATCTTTACAATACAAATAGAAAAAGTTAATAACATTTTTCCACTGTCTAACAAATAAATAATAGTCAAGCAATATCATCAGTTGATACGAAGACTTTCGATACATCGATATGTCATAGAGGTAAAAAGGTGTTCGTAAAATTGTTAACTTGTTTGTTTACATACCTATATTATTTTTTTTGAGTTAATTAATTTAGAACGTAATAACCTAACCTAACCAGGGGTCAAACGTCCTATAGGTAGGTATAAATAAATCTATATAACTCCCGGGGGCCAAATGTCCTATCTTAATAATAGACGGGGACGAAACGTCCATGGACTCGTTTTTTTTTGACGGGGACGAAACGTCCGCGAACCTATGACATTAAGTATATTTTATATTATATTTATAACTACAGTATATTTATTTATTAAATAAATTAATATTTATTTTATTGTACATAAAGTAGTTTATACATCGTGAAACAAAAAAATTGTTGATAAACGTTACATGAAAATTCAAACGCAAATAATTGATAACATGAATAATAAATATGATAATAGTTTCTCTGACTATTAGTCCCCGTCGGAATCAGCGGACTGTTTTGATTGTCAACAACCAAGTCTAAAACTGGTCTAATGACGTGTTGGAACGACCGTCTGATGGTTTGGGTTTACGTTTTTAGGGTGCGTTAGGGTGTGTTGGAACGAAAAAAATTATACTGCGCATGCTTCCCACCACCTCTATGATAATTTGACCGCGTGTTGGAAACATAGAAAAATGATATAATATAATGGCGATATCTATGATCGTGGTATATCTACAGTCGACCAAACCATGGTACATTATGTGACCAAACTGTATAGTCTGTATGATAAGGATTAATAATTTCACATATCCCCATCAAATGTCGAATCGAACTATGTGGATATCCTTTTCCTTCTGTCGAACTTGTCATAATGTTATTGTTTTGTTGTATTTGGCAATCAGTAATATATTAATTTTATATAGTATATTTTATAATTAATTATATGCTATTATTATGCTGCCCTTAGTAATCATTAGTCAATATTTAGAATTTAGTCCAACTCTCGTTAATCATTTCACACATGACGAGTTTTGAAATTTGAAAATTTGGTAAGTTGCCTTCGTATGCCTGCCGTTATTAATTCTTTATTGCAGGTGTCTGATATTCAATAATAAATGTCTTATTTTTCAGTTTTCAAGTTAAATGGTATAAGTTACTTTGTACCAATTCAATTTCAATTTTCATATATTACTGAATTTGAATCCATTTCAATAAAAAATTTGACAAAGATAAAAAAAAATCATGGCATCAAATACTTCTCATTTAGTTGTAAGTAATTCTAAATTTTAATTCATTGTTATATTAATTATATATTGTACATCACAACACTGAAGCAATGGTTTTATTATGCTTAAAAAAATTAATTTAGGAAGGGTTTTAATTTTTATATGTGCTTATTTTCAATCAAGTTTGTCAAATTCCCGTGTTTGATTTTAATATATTGACTCAGATACCTAGAAATTATAAAAAGAGAAGCTTTAGTATAATTTGAAATTAAATATTTTTTGAAGATTATCTTATTAATTGATGTTACTTATGTAACATATTAGTATTAAATACTAATATAATTTAGTTGTATTGTTAATATTTACTAACCAAAATGCTGAAAAATATTGTGAATAAATTAGTCTTGATTAACCTTTCCATTAATGCATAAGAAATAAATAAAAAAAGGCATTCTTGATAAGAATTGTGTAGTAAGCCATGGTTTAACAACACTTTAAATGTCTTATTTTTTCACATGTTTCATACGTATCAAATTTTATAATTAAGTAATAAAACATAAAATTAAAATTAAAAATTATTAAATGATTATTACTGAGTTGCGATCTTATTTTTTCATATTCAGCTACAATTGTTTTTAACGTTGTATAAACTTAATGATGAATTTTTAATTTGAAACTGGCCGTACTTTACAAATATAATAACATTCTAGGCAAAGCTATTATTTATTTCTATGTATAAATTATTTGTTTATTATTTTATATATAAATATAATATGTACAGTTTTAAATATACCAAGAAAAGATTTCTTATAGATATTTTCAAAGTGAATTTTCTTTTATCCGATGTAAAATGTATGAATAAAACAATCAATATTGTCCTAAGGTAGAATATTTTGGAATAAGTTATTTATTATAAAATTGATTTACTTAAAATAGGTACATATATTATGTTTTTTTTTTTTTTTTTTATAGCCGGAAATTGAATATATTCATCAGTTAGTATATGATTTAAGATCATGTGAATTACAACTCATTTTAGATACTGTTAAACAGAACAAATCTGGTAGCAAAAAAGTTTTACGTAAGCGTGTTTTAAATTTGTTATCTGCTTCTCCAATAAAAACAAGATTTTTGAGACAAAAAATTTTACAAGTCTATAATACTAGATTAGAAACTGACCGAATTTATCAACAACATCCTCAACAACCACCACCACCACCACCACCACCATTAATTCAACATTCACTTGAATCACATTTTTTACCACGGTATTTTCAACAACCTTCTTCATATAAGGATTTGAAGAATATGAAATGTACTCTACCCTATACAACCAATACTTTACCACCTGTTAATGAAGCTCATGATATATCAACTACTAAATTTGAAAATTTGCCATTTTTTAAAACAATGGGAACTTTACTGTTTCCTATTGACTGCAATACTGTTGTTGATTCAGCCAGCTTTACTGGTCTTTTTTATCTAACAGATGATGTTAGACATTCAATTTTAAAATCGTGGAATATTACTAGACAAGAATACAAAGTTCAAATAATTTTAAGATTAGTTCGAAGAGGTGTTATAGAAAATGTTACAGATCGTTTACCTTACAATTTAAATGTTTCTGTAAATGATTGTCAATGCAAGTTACCTACAATGAACATCCCAACAAAGGCTGGCATCACCCCATGGAGATGCAATGTTCCTATAGATATTACTCAGCAAACAGATATAAGAAATTGTTCACAGAACACATTAAATATCACTTGGTCAGAAGATTCACAAAACTATACAGCTGGTGTTTATGTTGCACAGAAATTAACTTGGAATGAGCTTCTTGTAGAACTTAAAAAAAGACCCCTTCGTCCATTAGATAAAACAAAAGAATTGATTAAAAAATCAATGGAAAGTGATGCTGATATGGGTGTAGATTCTATGTTTGCTACTATTAAGGATCCACTTAGTAAAATGAGAATGAACCTACCATGTCGAGGTATTGATTGTATACATATGCAATGTTTTGATGCTATACAATTCTTGCAGATGAATGAACAAAAACAAACATGGATATGTCCTTTATGTAAGAAAAAAGTAAGATTTGAAGATATTGAAGTTGATGAATTTTTTTTAAACATCCTTCAAAATCCAAATTTAAGTAATGATTGTGAAAATGTCATCTTATTAGCAGATGGAACATGGCGTGAAAAAAAACCTAAAGATTTTTCAAATATTTCCAAAATAAATGACAATCATTCTTCTAATCACATTGAGGTGTTTACATTATCAGATTCAGATGATGAGGATGATCATATTCATCATCCAGAAACAAAACGTAAAAAATGTAATTCACCAAATCTTGAAGAATCTATAATAAAATCTGAACATATTCTCCAAACTGAAGATTTGACAAGAACAAATGATAGTAATTCTGCTGATGATGAATTTGTATTAGACTTAAGTCTTAAGAATAATTCGTTGCCATCGACTAGTTCAAAATATGACCCAATAATTACATTAAATGATGATTCTGATCCTCAGTCTTTAACTGAATCATCCGATATATTTAATAGTTTTTACTTACCAAATATTTCAATTTCAAATTGCCGTAAAAATGAATATAAGCCAAGTAGCTCAACTAGCTCTGGAAGTAAAAGTAATAAACACAGAGAAATAGCTAAATCGCGAGATGTTTTATGTGTTATAACATTAGATTAAATCTTAAATACTTAAGTTATGTATATATATTTTTTATTAACTGAAAATTGAATTTGTTCCATTCAAATTGACTTGTGTTTTTAAAAGATTAGTTACATATTATTGTAATTTTTCTCTCTTAAGTTATGAAATATTGTATTAAAATATTGTATTATCCTGTCGATATATCACAAATGGTTAGATTGGCAAACAATTGACTTGGTTTATTTTTTTAATTTTGTGGATTTATTGTCATGATTGTTATTTCAACAGCTGTATGTTATTTGAAATACAACAAAATTAAAAAAAACTGATTTATTATGTTTTAGTTAAATCTATTATGTTAAAAAAATATGTAAATACATTAACTCAAATTTTTTTTTAACATAGTAAAATTTTTGATTTCTTACTTCATATCAATGGAAATTGGATACATACACTACAATATAATGAATTTATAAATTACATATAATTGATTTTTAATTTCCTTTAATTTTTTATTTTAATATAAAGTTTTTTTATAATATATAAAAATGTTAATCCATATCACTAGAATTATTTTAAACCTATAGCGTATCAATTACCTCAACTGTAAATTTAAAAAAATTGAATATAATTAAAACGCATTATATTTTATTTGGTTTTTATTATTAAATTTCATTTATTAAGTTTTAATTTTTTTTTTTACAATTTAACACCTTTTTATTATTTAAGTCAGTGGTTCTCAACCTAGGGAGCACACCCCCTTAGGGTTACGTGATAAAATTTCAGGGGGGGCGTGAAAAATGTTGAAAAAAACATGAAAAATGAAAATGTTGTCGTTTTCTATGCTGTGCCTTGCTGCAGTGTTAGTTGTCGCTTCGGTCAATTTTTTTTATGCAAATAAATTCAATTAATATTAAAAAAAACTTCATTGAAGTTGTATTCTTATGAATCCAATAACCAACGTTAAAGCAAGGACCTTTAATTACCTTGGTACCTTTAAGTTTTTACGGTTCCGGTTCTCAATTATATTATTAAAAGGTTTGGATTTCGATTATTGAAAAATACAAAATAAGGGTTCAGGTTCTAAATAAAATATTTTAACATATATTCCGTAGTAGTATTTGATACAAATTTAAAAATTACATAAATTTTACCGGTATTATGGCATTATACTAAGCAATATGGCATAATATACTTGTATATGTCTCAAAATGTCTCTTTTCAAATAATTTATATATATTATATATACCGCAATAAGTTTTTTTTAACAGCTATATAGTAATATAAAATGTTATAGTATTATAATAAAGTAAATAAATAAGAAAATATGCAAAATAAAATTTCATTTTTGAACTCATGCTGTGATTCAAATTTGTATCTATAATAATAAATAATAATTTATTTGGCCAAAAATAGAGTTTATATATGTTGAAGAACAGTCATATGAATAAATTAAATTAAGTTTTAACTATACATAATAGGATTTGTTGCCCAATTCACCACTGAGATAACCCTCGTATTCGAAAAATTGTAGTATTAACCTGTTTAGCCTTTAGTCGTCTGTCTGTTAGCACATAATATTAAAAATTAAGATTAAGAATACAATTTTTAAAAAGCTATTTCTCAGAAATTGATTTATGCTTTGACATTTTAAGAATAAAAATATAATTAATAATGTTTGTTACATCTGATATTTTTCATTTAATAATAAGGGTTTCGGTTTGATTATAGTTCTTTGAAAACGTAAACGTGTTCGGTTCCAGTTCCCAATATTTTAAGCGTTCTTGGGTTCCAGAACCGGTTCTTTTAAATTCGGTTCCAGTCCCTGCATTAAATTATAGTTTACAAATAAATATTATGTATACATCAATCATATAGTAACGAAGGGGTGGGGCGTGAACTCATAAAATAGTTTTAAAGGGGGCGCGGACCTCAAAAGGTTGAGAACCCATGATTTAAATATTGCTCTAGGTAAGTTGAAAATATTTTTTTGTATTATTTTTTATTTTTAGACCAATAAAGGTGTATAATATATTTGTAATTAGCTATTTATAATCAGGAAAAATAATTTTGAACGGGTGTCAGTATGGTTTCTGACAGCTTCAATTTTTTTAGTGAACAGATACAAAGTATGTTGTCCGAAATTGGAAATGTACATAACGGATTCGAGAAGTGTATACCTACTAAATACTATTAAATAAGAATATTATGAAGATATTTTTTAGGAAACCAGTTAATGCATGACAGCTAATGAGGACTTAAATATGTATATTACATTTTCAATTATATGTCCCACATTAAAATAATTTGTTAATAGTTTTCAGATTTATACCAGACTTATGTATATTTTCAGTTTAAAAAATAATAACAGATTGGTAGTTACCTAACTATAACGTGCAATTTGATTAATAAAAAAAACTATAACTAAAAATTATTACTGAAATTGTACTAAAAATTATAATCATATGGAAGTAGAGTAAAGGAAGGCTCTATATCATATTGTATGTTAAAAAATGTGTAGTACAAATTTTTATGAAAAATAAGGACTGGTTTTTGATATAGAAAAATAGGTAGATAGTTAAAGCAGGTAATGTAAAAGTACTTTGAGTATACCTAAAATATATCTAATTAATTTTCAAATCTACAGTTTTTTGGCAATTGTCTAGCCTTTAACAAACTGGTTATCAATGACAATTGAAAAAAAAATACAAGAGATCTCTGAAAAAACAGTTAATACTGTCAAGGTTTGGTACTATTATTCAAAAGTGACCGTGCTGATGTTACGGACCTTTCTAGGTACACTGTAAATAGAAAGAGGTCTAAACAAAATGTAAAATGTATTTGTACATTGATTGTTTAAGACATTCAGAATATACTTTTATTTTAAATTTTCTTTTCTTTTTTTCTGCATCTTTAGAATACATACAATTATACATATTTTTTAAAAGTTTGAAATATAAATGGTTCTGATTAACAGCCCCAGTTATATAGGCCCACAGAATTCTGTTCTGTAAATAGTATACTTTGTATAGAAGTTATGTATAAACCACACCTATAATAGGTATAATCCCAATAATTGCAAAACTATTACTACACCTTTTGATTTTAGAATATACAGATAAGGGGTTGTATAGGAAGATTCGGCGACTCAAAATTTAGTTCATGCAAGTTGTTGAGAGATCATTGTTGTCTTTATCGTAAATATTTTTCGCAGTCAAAATTGTCTATTTTATTAATATAGTGATTACATATGCCGTGACAGTACATTTTATCTTTACAACCGGTTTTGTGTTTATTTCCTTTTGTATCACGGGCGGCCAGCTGCCCGGACAAGTCGGTAGTCACTACTAGTGATGTTAAACTGTGAAAAATATTTATCAACTGTGATAAAAAAAAAAATCACAGTGAAAATAACAGTGATTGCTAACTGCTACTTTCTATTTTTCACGTACCTATGGCGAATCACATGTGTGCTTTACACTATCAGAATATGACAGTAATCCATAGTGTTAGAATACTACTCTGTTTACTACTTAGTCGTGATATCAGATAATATTTACCTAATGTAAATGTGACATAACATTAATCATTATTCATTACCTATGAATAATGACTAATATAATAAATTAACATATATTATAATATCAATAAATATCTATCTAAAATCACGAATTTTTAAATATGTTTTAATATGTGTAATTTTAATGAATGGTATTTTATCTAAAATATGTTATTATCCATTAATAAAAATATTACGTTACATTTCAATCCATGTTTTAACTACTTATAATTAGTGAACCATGCTCTATGTAGTAAACTACTTCCATCTCCCACTATTTTTAGTATCTACACTGAGACTATATAATGCACCACAAATGTACATATAGTACTATTGTAGCAAGTGGTAACTAGCTATACTTGCATATCACTATTTCATAGCATCGATTATAAATACTATAGATAGCTCACTGCAATACAAAATACGTTGCGCGGAAATTAATTCCGATAGAGTGCCATAAGGTATTATTTTTGTCTACAGTAAAATGTCTTTCCCGTTTTATAGCAGTTAAAGTACATGTATTTACCACCTCTGAACATGTTTTAGTTAATTTAAAAATTTATTATACGAGCAATAAATTTAAATGTTCTAAAAAAATACATCGAAATATTTAAATGCAATAAACATAAAATGTAGGTGTGTGTCGATATTCGAATGAACTCAATGGAGACATGGAGTATATGAATGATTAATTTTAACCATATTCTATTGTAGTTGTAAACAATATTTTTGTAGCTATTTATGCAGTAAACATGTTTAAAAATAGCCATATTTGATATTTCCACGGTTATTAACGATCACAACGTGACGGCCATTGACCAGAGCGACACTAGCGATTACATATTACAACGTTATCCGATCGTACTAACAAGGCTACCGCAACGCTTTAAAGCGGTATCCGATTATTATTCGCACAACGTATTTTGTATTGCAGTGAGCAATCTATATAGTATTTATAATCAATGATCATAGTGTTAAATACTTTTCACAGTTGGATAACTTAACAGATTTATGATATCATCACAGTGTGATAAAATCATTTTTATATATTACCGGCTACACACGATTAGTTTTAACTATCAGTTAAAACTGGCGTCCTTTGAGTCCACACACGTTCATTTTTAACTGAATACAGATATAATTTGTTTGTGTTCTCTGTCAGTACATCTAGTGTAGTGTAGAGAAAAATGTACCCACAAGATGTCATCGGATGATGCTTAAGCCATACTTGGGCTATTACTAGTGTTAAAAAAGAATAAAAAAAATCCATGTAAATGTAGAGTGGTTTTTGGGACATTTTTGATTTTTCACGGTTTCACAGAGATATATGAAAATACAAAAAACGGATATAGAGGTATACGGGTACGAATGCGTAGATAACTGCCACACGATTGACGATAATCACCTACACATATTCAGTTTACACACATTTTTAACTGAATAGTTCCGTCATTTCAGTTTAAAAATATGTGAAATTATATTTCAATCAGTTTTAACTGATAACGAGAGAACTGACAGATAAAACTGATCGTGTGTAACCTGGCATTATGTATGAATGGCAGTCACAGTTATTGTTACTCATTGGATCACTGTGAAAAATAGCAGTGACTGCTACTTTTTAACATCAATAGTCACCAGTCCCACCAGTACTCAAAATATACACACAAAGTTGACATGAATATAATAATTATTATAATATTACCTACTTTTAATATAATTATTCAAGTAGACAAATAATTTTTAGTCCACTTAAATTATATCTATATATTAGTTGCATATCTCTAGTCTACAATATATACAAAATTTACAAAAAATCAGTTAATACTGGTATCAGGTAAAATTTTATAAGCGTTTAAATTTTAAATTTGGACAAAAATCACGAAAATTTACTTTATTATTAAAATTATATAATATTTATATTGAATATTATTTTATGAGTATTTTTTAAACACAAAATAAGAAAAAAAACACATTGTAAAACAAAAATTAATTACCAATAAAAATTAAAATCAAAAATACCTATACAAAAATAAAGTTCAGTAAAATGATTACAGGTCAAATGTACATTTATATTTGTAAACACAACGGTAAACCTCCAATTTAACTGTAATTTAAATATGACTAAGGATTTTTATTTTTTCTATTTTAGATTGTTGAGATGTAGAAGAAAATGTTTTTAATTTTCTAAAAATCTTACAAATTAATAATTAATATCCTAAAATCAATGCTACACCTTAAGATCACAAAACAAAAGAATGAAATTATTTTCCTTAGTAAACACTGCACAAAAATTGCTAAACTAAGAACTTTGTTGGCGACACTGGATAGATTTTTCGATTATTTATCAACCAAGTCAAAGCGCTGAACGCTGCTTTCAGCTGTTACTATAGTTGATCGCTGAAATAATAGTTAACCGTTCATAAAATTGTTTCGTATCTATAATGAACATTTTATTTTACAACCACTCGTAACCGTATTACAATTATTGACTGGGATCGAAAAACCATTTTTGTCGTAGACTACATTTGGTCAATTTTTTTTATTTACTTATATCATTTCTTTACTCGTTCAGTGAACGTTGATGTAAGGCAGCTTGTTCTAAATTAAACCGGTAAGCCTACCTTAAGATATTTTTTCAACTCGTCATTTATTTTATATTTACATTAATTTTCTGCTAATAATTAATGTAATAATTAATTTAATTGTCAAAAAAATAATTTAAAAATGTGTTCGCTTACTGTTTGGTGTTGACGTTTTTCCCATTAATTTACAACCAAATTAGTTGCTGTGGTATACTTACATCACAACTGCAATGACATTGTTGGAGTTTACTGGTTGTGCACTGACAGCTTTTGGTCCAGCACTGTCGATGTTCATCGTAACAATCATGAATGATCCTGTACGTGTCATTATATTGATAGCCAGTTCATTTTTTTGGCTGCTAAGTCTACTATTATCATCGATAGTGTGGTTCATCTTTCCTAGCAAACAACAGGTCTGGTTTGGAGTGTTCATCTCTGTACTGGTACAAGAGCTGTTTCGTTACTTTTTGTACCTACTACTGCGTAAAGCTGAACGTGGACTTAAACGATTTGTGGCACATTCATTAGTGTCGAATAATAAACACATGCTATCATATGTTTCCGGTTTGGGATTCGGCGTCATGAGTGGGCTGTTCTCTTTAGTCAACATCCTAGCTGAAGTTGGAGGACCAGGTACAATGGGACTCCGTGGTGGATACAGTGCATTTTGTATTGTATCTTCTATTTTTACTGCGTTCACCATACTCCTACATATATTTTGGGGAATACTTTTTTTCCATGGATTAAATACAGCTAATAAGAACCTAATTTTGTATGTCATTGTTTCTCATCTTGTTGTATCAGAAATAACATTGTTCAATCAGTACTATTATTATATTCTTACACTATCTATAGTTTTTTCAATAACACTTGGTACAGGACTCTATGCTTTTAAGACGGCAGGTGGACAATTACCTATAATTGACAAACTTAAAACTGAAAATACAAATACAGCTGAGAGTTAAATGTATTACATTTAATTTTTTTTTTTTATTGTATAACTTTTTATTGTGTAACATATTGGTTTTTTCATTATATACTATTAAAATTAAATTTTTTAACTTTTCTAAACTAAATAAATTATAATATAATCATATTATTTATAAAAAATACTTGTCTTATTTTTTTATGTACATGAACCCTGTCTAATTTAAATGCTTGGTTGTATTAATTTTTAGTAATATTTTATTTGTGCAAAAATGCATAGGTTTTAAATGAAACATTTCATTATTTAAAATATACATATATAAAGTATGTCCCATAAGTCCTGTATCACCCTTAATATCTCCACAGGAAATAAATATATTTAAACACAGTTTTTTTACAATACTTTAGTATGGAAATTCTGATTGAATGGCATAAAATTCAATTTTAATATATATTTTTTTTTTTAATTGTTTTAAAAAAATGCTCAAAAAAATTGTTACCTTAAAAATTGAAAATCCTTAAATGCATAAAAAATATTTGAATTGTTTTAAAAAAAATTGAATTTTATGCCATTAAATCAGAATTTCCACACTAAGTATTATAAAAAAAAAACCACGTTAAAATATATTGATTTCCTGTGGGATATTAAGGGTGATACGGGACTTATGAGATGTACTGTATATATAAATAAAATTTATTAAGAATTAAATTAATTATTATTAGTTACAATTATATTATAAAAAAATTCACAAAAAAAAAAATACACAATTTATTAATAAATAAACAAAAACAATTTTTACATTTTTATAACAAAACTGTATTATGTTACAGAAATTATGTATGTTTAACAAATTTATAAAAATATATTTTAACATAATATTAAGTTTGTATTTTATTTTTTTAGTAATACAATTGTATTTGATTCAAATAATTAATTTATCAATGGTTTTGTTTCAAAAAAAATATAGATATAAATACAAATAAGATAATGGAAATATCTATCAAATTTGATTAATACTGACTGAGCAAGATGCATTTACGGTTAATATAAAGGGTCCTTCATTACCGGGCAAGTATGTAGAAGGAATTATTTCGTATGTTCCTGGTTGGATATCAAGTAATTCTAAAATCACATACCCAGATCTGAAAATAAAATCAATACATACATAAAAAAATTTTGTTTAAAAATAATAAAAAATTAAGTGTAATAATGAAATTAAATAACATAATTTATAAAAATTAATTATTTTTAATTCCTTAATACATAAAATTAATCTTTATTATTTTATACCTTATTCTTATAAAGTAACATAACAAGTTATGTGACTATTTATTTATTATATATTTTATAAATTGCTCATATTTATTTGTTTCATTATACACAAATTGAAGCCGAATGTCCAGATTGACGCGTGTATTGCGTCATCCACTTAGCTGAGAAGACTATGCCAGAACTTGATCAACAAAAACAACAGTGTTTAGTGGCAATGGAAACTCTTGATCGGTCATCACCAGAACTATGGCCTGAACCAATGCCTGGCATGTCTGGTTTTGCACAACATATACGTGCATCAAGTGCGACAGACAAACAACCATCATGGAAACAACCACCAGATGCTCATGATATGTTACTTTTACAACGATATAGTCAAATGCCATTGCCTCCTCTCATAGATGAATTAAAGTCTCTTTACGACTTTGCCTATAATTTAGGCTTAGAAGAAGCTAAAGAAATGACACGTGGAAAATATTTAAATATATTTACGCGTAATACAACTAAATCCAATGATTAATTGTAATCATTTTGTATAAGCTGAAAAATGTATTTAAATGTAATCTTTTAAATTTATATAATTTTTTTTAAAAATGTTGATTTTAAATAATGTACTTTTACTTAATAAATACTAATAATTTATCATCATATAATATATATATATATGCGTTCAATATTATAAATTAAGAAAATCACATCGCTAAAATATTAAAAAATTTAATTAACTAAATTAATTTAAATAAAACTAAATTTTTATCATATAAGATTCATTATAATTTAATAATAAATTAAACAATAGCATATACTGACCTATAACTCCCTGAAGACTTTCTCATAAATTTTGCTGTAGCATTTATGTTATTTAATCCAACACATGATACTTCAAGTCCAACTTGATACTGTTTTGGTGCCTTTAGTTCAATTTGCAAATTTTCAGTGTCTGTCAATCCATCTACTGTTAATTTAAATTTTGGATTTTCTTTATAGGTTTTATGGTTTTGACAACCACCAGCTCTATTTCCTTTCCATTCACCATTGACAGACTATATTTAAAATTATATTAATAAATATAGCATGTTCTATTATAATAAAGATTCAAAGTAAATACAGTTTTGAATTTGATATCATAGGTATTGGTAAGCTCTTTAAGTGTAAATGGACATGTGGCATAAGCTCGTAATGTGTAGTGAATTGTATTCATTTTTTCATATTGAGACACAACTAATGTAAATTTGGAAGGTGTTTTGTCATTAAGAACAATCTTACAAAGATAATGAGGGCTATTAATACGTTTTCCTGATATATAAGGTTCAGGATCATCTAAAAAAAATAAGTATTATATTAAAATCTAGCTATTATTTAATTATTTATTTATGTACTTGGGTAATGAACACGTTTTCCATCATTTTTATACACTAAAACAGTTATATATTCACGATTAACTTTGAAATCTTGTAATTCTGTGATGTGACGAGTTAAAAGTACCCAAACAGCACCACTGTTAACAATACTAACATCTAAACTAAATTGAGGGTTTTCGCTTATATTATACAAATCACAAATAGGACCTGTTCCAGTATTCCATGTTCTAAAAATATTTTTAAATACAATTTTTTTTAAATTTATTTTATTAATTATGTTTTACTTATGTAAGCATGATGTATATGGAAACAGGGCAGGATTCCAGTTCATACAAAATACATCAAAATGATGCAATACAGAATTGTAATCAATCCAAAAAATGCCATTATCAAAGGAAGCAGCACTTGTTGGGTCATAGTCAAGTGTTTCTTTTAAATGAGAAGTCCAACTTTTTTCATCTAATTCTGAATAACGACCTTTCCAGCGAACATGTGCCCAAGGATTTTTCAATTTTAACAATTTTAAATCCTGAGAAAATTATTAAATAACTAAATATTAACTTAATTGTTTTTATTTATATGGCATACATTCACTTTTTGTACGGCCAAAACAGCATAAGCATGCGAAGAAACTAGACCAGTTCTTCTTTCCTCTTCTATTGACATTGGAGGAGTAGCAACAGTAATCAATACATCACCTTTATGCAATCTGGTAAGAAGATTTTCAAACAAACCATCAGTATTAAATGTTTTATCATCTAAATGAATTGCACAACGTTCTGGTATCCAACCCGTCAAAGCATGAAGATCTATGTTCTAAAATTAACACTTACTTAATACAGCCAATAGATTTAATTATTAACCTGTTCTGTGATACAGCTACAATTTATTAAAAATTATTAAAAATATATATATATATATATATATATATATCACTTATTACAAATCTGCATTAGCAACAATCATTTTTAACTATTACTATTAAACAAAATATTGAAAACTTACACTACTTGATCCAGGAAAATCATAACCTCCCATTACTTTTAGATATGCTTTTTCAATTAGTGAAACCCAAAATTCATTTTTATTGGACGAATGTGAGCACAATAATGAATTGTATTTTCCAACTGGTAAAAGATCATCAATTATAACTTTGCGTTGTATACCATTTAGATGAAGCTTAACCATGTATTTTCCTAATAAAATAGCAATCATATAATAGTTAAATAATATTAAGATCATGCAGTTAAAAATATAAGTTAAAGTAGTATTATAATATTACCAAATGGATTATACACTGGTTGTCCATTCTGTTTTTGTGGGTAGATTATCGATGTAATTAATCTTTGTTTGAAAGTTTTCTCGTACACGGCGCATACTGCTAAGGATGCTACAAATGAACAATCAGTCACAATCTATAACAAATATGGTTTATTTTTTCATATATTTAAGGCTTATAAATATTAAGATTTATTCTATACCAATATAAATTTGAATTGCATTAATAATTTAATATGCCATTTAAGTAAACATTTATATTTAGTTATATATATTTAAATAAATTTATTATAAAAAAATAGTTTTAATATTTGATAGATGTAAAATGACACAGCACAAACATATGAAATATTAGTTTTGATGACCTAAATATTCTAAATTACGAGTAATTTTTTCCATTCAATTCAAAATCAAAACCAATTGCATCTAAAAATTGTCAATAGTATAAATTAAGAAGAAATCATTTTTTTTTTTTTTAACCAACTGAGAGTTTTAGTAGGTTTTAAATTAAGCAAAAATATATTGAAATACAATAAACAAATTTTTTTTTTTATATATATAAATAAATTACGGTTTGTTTTATGCTGTAAAAACTTATTGAATCCCCAATCACCAATTTTGGGTCTGAACTTAATTGATCAGGTCTTATCCATTGTAAAAATTTTTTTTTTTGTTCCAATGATAATGTCAGCAAACCATCACTGTCAGTGAAAGGAATTGATAGTTGAAACCTTATGACAAATATTCAAAAAATTATTTTTAGACATTTATCAGCAACTTTAATTGTATTAAAAATGTAGATTTATTTGAAGTTGAAAATTAATTTTTAAACATTCTAATTTGCATTGACTGGTTAACAAAAAAATTATATTTATTCAAAACTATGTTTTGCACTAGTCGTCAGTTATATAAAATTACAAAGAACACTAAAAAGAAACTACAAAATAATAGAAACCAAAGAGAAAATACCTCAAAGCTAAGGTGGCTAGACATAGTAGATCTTTAAATGCTGAGGGTGCAATATTGGAAGGAACTTGTTTAAAATCAGAAGAAATGGAGGAATGTAGTGATTGTGACTAAGATTCTAATAAAGTTATATATTTCACTGATGATGATGATATATGCATAATAATTTTTACAGATTTTATTTTAAAATGTACCTTTCTGATAGATCAACATCCATGAAAGGAACATATTCTTTGTTATTAATTTTTGATGTGATCATTAATACTTGTTTTTCTGCTTCAGTATAAAGATTACTTTTAGATGTATCTAATTTGATATGACCGCGACTCTGAATAACTTTTTTATGCAATGGTGCTGAAAATTAATTAATAACATACTATATATATAATTACTATTATGAAACAATTTTCTAACTAAAAACAAGTTACAATAAATAAAAAATTATAAATTACAATAAAGAGCGCACATCTTATTTTAAACTAAAGTATTCAATTTAATTATTGTTAAGTTGAAATAATTTGATCCATTACATATAGTTTTTAAAATATATTTAATATGTATAATACACATATTGAAAATAGCTGTCGATATAAGTTTTTATATAAAAAAAACATACAGTAACAACGTAATTTAAATATAAGTTCTGTATTAAAGTACTACCCTTTATGGATTTTTTAATTAATTTATATGTAATGTATATATATATTTATAAAAATATGCAATAAAAAAAAATGTTAAGAACTATAAAGAAAATAAAATATTTAGTAGAAATATTTTATTTAATAGCTATAAAATCACAAAAATAATAATTGATAAATCATTTTACAACAAGAAACATATTTTTATTTCTGAAAAGTAATCAAAAAATATTCAATATAGTAATATATTACATAACAATAAAAAAAAATAATAATTTTAACAATACACAGTTAATATAAAGTAGTTATGTTCTTACAAAATGTCTAAAATTATTAAATAATAAATTGTAATGTTTAAAATTCATTACTTTTTTAACTATTATAATCATCTTTTAATATAAAACAACGACAATAAACAGCCAACATTTAAAAAAATAAACACCTTGTATTTTAATAATCTATTTTTGTATAACTTTAATAGGTAACTAGTTTAATTCTAAATGAAATAATTTGTGTATTTAATTAAAAAGAATGAAAATTATACATTTACTTTTGTACTTAATTTGAATAGAATACAATAATTTTCATAATGGTTTTAAATTATTTAGAACTTAAAATATAAAATTATAATATATTTGAGTCATAATAATATACTAATTTGGCCTTAGATATTTTTTGATAATAAATATTTTACAAAATATGACTAACATTTATTCTAATAAATTCATGATTTTTTATTTTTGTTATTATTATTAATTTTGTATATGAAAAAAAAAATGATTCTATTGTTTAAATCACGTTTCAACATAGTAATATTTGACACTGACAACAGTTACAAATAACAAAATAAATTTAATATTAATTGTAACATAAATAATACTAATTAGTAGAATATAGTTTGAGTAATTTAATAGTTCTATAATTTATGCAAATTTCATTTTTAAGGATTAACTATAGTAATGAGTATTTTAGTTTCTAAAATAAATACTTAATGAATACAGATCACATAAATAAATAAAAATTATGATATGTAACAACATTCAACAAAAACTTTTTGATAGCAGTGGTAATATCAAAGTATAATTTTTTGATTAAATATTTAAATGATATCTTATGTAGTATTTTATTAAAGAAAAACAAGACAATGACATTTATCGAATAGGAAATCTATATTTTATAGTAATTTTGTGTCCACTTTTTTTTTATGTTAACATAAAATTTCAAACTAATTAGAAACAAAAATATTTTCAAATTGTTAAATTGACAGTATGCAAAACCTAACTTCATTTATCTAGAAACTGGATGGCAGTTTATTTTTATTTTAATTAAACTTAAAACAGTTATAAAAATTGAAAAATATTCAGAATGAAACTAATTGTGAAAAAGACTTTCCTAAAATTAATTAATAATTTTTCTCATTTTACAATTTTATCAAATAGTTCATGGGAAATTTAAATTTAAAAAAAATTTAATGTCTCAACAATGCTTTTTTAATTTAAATTATTTATGTAAAAATAAATAAATAAATAAATGCTTAGCCTGGAATATTATTATACTCGTAATGTATGAATAGTTTTAAATTAATAATGTATTATCAAGTTTAACTACATCATTAAAATCAAGACTATTTATTTATTTTTATATTCATTTGTGAGTATTGAAATTTACTAATTTTTGTTTTATTTTATTAATTTATTATTAAAACTTATGTTTATGATTACACAAAATTTAAATTACAATACACAAAATGCACTCATCATAGGTACATAATGTAAGTCTAACAGAATTGAGATCCATTTAAATAATAATTTAAATAAATTTAAAATTAGTAAACTTAGTAAAATTTTATAATCAGTACATTTTTGTTTTATTTTAATACATATTAAACAACCTTAAATTATAAAATAGTATTAAGAAATATAAACATTTATTGGTTAAAATAAATATAATAATAATAAAAATATCACATTTAAAATGTTCATTAACATAAACACATTAAAAACATTTTAGGTCAAATTTAATAATAGCATATAAATAAACTAATAATACTAAAATAAATTTTTTTTCAATGAAATATAACTTCATTATAACTAATATAAGTAATTTTTCAATTATCTAACTTAAAAAATAAATATAATTTCATTTTAATACTGGTAACTAAAAATTAAAATAGAAAACTCAAGTAAAGTTTTAATTTTTAACATTATGATAAATAAACTATATTATTTGATTATTACAATATCAGCAAAAAAGTATAATATTATTATTTAAATGAAAATTTAATAAAATATATAGCTAAATATATCTAGTTTAAATTAAAATCCAAAGCAACAGATTTTAATAAAATAATTCTTTAAAATTAAATTAAATAACTTTTTAAAAAAATATTATATAAGTAATCAGCAGGGCTAGGATTTGTATGCAACAGCATGTCTTGTTTGCTATATTCAAATTAAGTTTTAGTAAATAATGTCCACAATTAATATTATTCTGATGATAATGTTGCTATTATTATTATCCATGTTTTTAAAGTTCGCCTTATACATAGATGCCTACAGAGATTTTTCTATGGGGGGAGGAAATGTTAACATTTGAGAATAAATTTCATAATTTTACTATTTTATATCAAAAACCTTTTTTATCAAATTTTTAAATTTAAAAAATATTTTGGAAAACCAAGAGGGGCAAATTCCCCGCTTGCCCTCCCCCTGGGCGACTATGGCTTTATGCATATTTTTACATATTAAGTATGAATGTATTTATAGTATTTGCGCCCTTAATAATTAAACTGATCAAAGTATATAACTTGGTTTTTTGTTAACATACATTATATTTTTATAAATACATTTCTATGGTACAATATGCAATAAAAGATTGCATAGTTTGTCAGAAAAAGATAAAAACAATTAATGGAAGTAGGTAAGTATTAATATAAAATTCAAAATAAGATATAATTTATCGGGTATTAGTGTATTACACACAATCCTAAAGGATTTAAAACTCTACAATCAATAAATAAAGTATTAAATGGCGAATCGGACAAGGACAATTTCAGTTGTAATTTAACACCAGAACAAATTTCTTTATTTAAATATGATGCTGAAAGAAGCTTTAACCAGTATAAATCCATACTACTATTCAATCACTGATAATTTATATTTGACAATTTAAAAAAATATGTGGCCGTAGCATGTAACCATGTATTTTACACTATTGAATGTGGATTATACATTTTATTCATAGGCGGATATCAGGGGGGCTTAGACCTCCCAAATATTTTAATAGCCCCCCTAAAAATCGAAATTTTGTTAGAAATTTTAATCGTTGTTTTTATAATTTATTTATAATTATGTGTTCATTTATTATGAAAATCGTAAAATAAAAAATGATAAAAAACTACATATTTACAATAGCATTAACAATACCAATTACATAGTTTGGCTACTTGCGAAGGAAGTTTCAGTGCAATGAAAAAAATAAAAACTTGGTTAAGGACATTGTTGGTTCAAGATAGGTTCAGCAATCTTTCAATACTATATATTGAAAAATATAAAAAGCGATGATATTTTGGTTATCTTTGCTAATACAAATAGTTATTTGTCATTAAAATAAAATATTAATTATTTTTAAATATACGTTATTTAGTGTTTGTTAATACAATTTAAACATATCTATATTTTTAATGGTAATAAGTTTTACTTGTGTATGGGAAGGAGGTGTGGAGACGAAGTCCCTGGGGGTTATTTTACATTGAATTATTATAGCCCCCCCAAAAATTCAACCAAATGCCCGCCAATGATTTTATTCCTAAAATAATAATTAATAAATAAATAATTTTTAATTTTTAATCTCAATTATATTACGACAATCTACCAATCACCGATGAATTTCAATAAATATTTTTATTTTTTTTTTTGTAACTATATTTTTCTATGCATCTTATAAAAATTAAAATGCATATATTACAGTTTTTTTATTGAATACAAATCCTAGCCATGGTAATGAGCATTACAGGCAATAATATAGAGGCAAGTATTAAATAATTTAATAATTACAAAGTACCTGTATTAATGGAGTTATTACAAGAGTTTTGCTCCTTAGACTGCTTTAATTTTTCTGCTCGATCTAAAGCTTTTTCAATTAGAGTTGTTAAATTTTTTATCATTTCATCATCTGATATTTCTTTTTTCTAAAATAAAAGTAACACAATGCGACATTAAAATATATTTTAGTAGTAAACTATAATTAAATAATTAATTTAATAATAACTCTTAATATAAATATGAAGCACTTATAAGTAATTTTTTTAGATTGTTATTTACCACTTTTAATGCTAATTCAATTGCTTGAGTATATATATCAATAGCTAAATCTTCTTTTCCAGACTCATCAACATCCAAAGCTTGCTTGAGTAAATATTTGCATTGTTTTAACCGTACTCTATCTTGATTAATTTTTTCCATATTATTGGCAGCTTCATTTTGAACTACAAAATTTTAATTATATTATTGATACAAATATATAAATAATAATATATAATATTAATATATTAACGTTAATATATTAAGTAATTGAGAAAAAATAAATTTGTATCATCTATACACATTATATTATTAGATTGTATCACATTTTTATTGATATTTAACAACTTATAATACATTCAACAATTAATATTCTTTAAAAAAAAGAAAATGAATATTTGCAATTACACATTTGATTGTATCCTACTTTAACTTATAAAGAATTATAAAAATGATTAATATTTGAAAAAATGTACCTTGTTATATTGTTTCAATTTTTTAGGTAAAACAGTTATCAGCATTAAATACAACATTAAATTAAAATGAACACTTCTTTTACTGAAATACATCAGTAAAACATGATTAAGACTTGAAATGATTGATTTGTTTTTTAACTAATAGGATGATTTTTTTTCCTTAATTGACATTTAATTATACCGTTTGATTTCTGCTTATAAATATAGGGATCACTAATAGATATTTTTAGGAAAGAAAATAAGTAAACAATTTTCCAATTTCCTTTACAATGTTATATTACTAATATTTGGTCACAAATTAAATTAAAACAATTATTCATTTTATTAAGAGCTGTAATTTTAAAGACTTCATGTAGAACGATCACTGGATAATGTCAGTTCCAACCAAAAATACTGAAATTGAATAAATATAAATTAGTTAAGTTTTATATTTTTTAACTATAAAAAATAATCCACATAACTTTACATCAAATAATTTTTGGTGAAATTCTAACATTGTTTTAAATTAATATTTTATATTTAACAAAAATCCCTTCCAATATAACATTATAATTTGAAACAATTGAAGGTTCTTAAAAATTAGATAAAATTATCAATTATCACAAAGTTTGATGTACAAATTTTAAGATTTGTATTTTATTACTGATGAAATTTAAGTTTTAATGAATTAGTTTCACTTTAAAATAATATTTTCAAATAATTAATGTGCATTAACCAAAGGTTTTATGATGCATTAAATATCAATCAATATTTCAACCATAAATTATTATTAGTCAATATATATATTAATAATAAATAATATTGATTCATTCTTATTTTTTTCATTACAAAAATTAGTATGAAAATAGTGTACCACATACTCAAAAAAGTTCATTGATGTAGGACCTAAATCTCAGGGATGTATCTGGGACAAATATAATATTAAATTTAAATCAAATATTTGTAATTAATCACATGACAGTATTTTAATACCAAGAATGAATGGTAAGTCTAGGTTTTCAAAGTCTTCAGTCTTTTAACAAAAAAAAAAAAAAAGAAAGTTAGCTGTATAGTAACAATAATTTATTTATATTTATAAAATATTACAAGGTACAATTTTGGTCTTTTATTACCAACTTTTAAAATTTGATGATAGATGAAAGGAAAACTCAAACCATTTACGTTTTAAAGATAATTTTTGCATATAAAAAAAAAAATTAACAAATTTAATGTAAATCTATAATGATAATAATTCATCAGTAATCAATTTTTTGTAAGAAAAATAGTATACTCAATACTAGTTTTGTATATTGCTATAAATCTTAAAAAGTGATCACATACAAAACTTATATTCAAACACAAAATTAATGGATTCCAATTAAGAAAACATTTTGCAAAACACAATTGTGCTTTAAAAATTTGTTTTATATGTAAATACATTGTACATTTATACTTTTAGAAAAACGTTTATATTTTCCCAGAAAAGAACAAAACTTAAACCAATAATGTAAAATCAATAACTTTCTATTTATAATAAGTCTATTGAAAATCTTAAATTAAAATCTAAACATTAAATCATTTAAATTAAAACAAAATAACAAATGATTAATAAAGAATTACTTTGATATTCCAAAGCTTCAGCTCTATTGATATAGTCATGTGATTTTTTACACCATTCATCAGCCAAGGGATCATTTTTTCGTATTTTCCATGCAAGTTCTAAGAGTGTAGCAGCTTCTTTATAATAATAAACAGCTGCTTGCATCTGACCATTACAGTCGCATACTACAGCTTTATTCGATACTACAATTGCTTCTTCAGCATACTCCATTTTACTTTAATACAAGACTAATATAACGTATTTAAATGAATAATATATTAATGAGGTTTTGGTTTATGGCCATCAACATAAAAGTTCCTAGTTACTACTGGTAATGTGAGTTCAATACCATCTAAGTTTTTATTTAGTACAATCTGACAACCCAATCTTGAGTTTTCTCTAAGAAATGGTGCTAAATCTAGTAAATCATCTTCTTTTTCTTCTGGTTCAGGAAGTTTAGACAAATAATCTTCTGTAACATAACAATGACAGGTTGAGCAAGCTAAAGACGCTTCACATGCACCTTCCATTTCAACTCCATATCTAATAAATTTAATATGATTAATGAAATAATGTTCAAAGTATTATTGAAATGTTGATAAGATGTAATTAAACATATTTTATTACCTGTGAGCTAAATAAAGAACGTTGTCGCCTACTTTGCCTCTGACTTCAGTGCGCTTGCCGTCCTTGTCTACAAAAACGACATGAACCACTTCATCCTCACTTTTTGGTTCCTGCCATTCGTACTCGCCGTGCCATAAACACTGAGTGGTGCTTATGGGCCTTTTGCGAAACGACGAGACGATTCCGGATTCCTTCCGGCTAACCAGATGACTGCGACTAGACTGTATGACACCACGTACTAATTGTGCAATAACGGTAACAGGCAAAAACATACTATATCGTATACGATGATCGGTTCTCTGAAGTCAGTAGTATTACAGAGCACATGCTAAACGGTACCGGACTATGACAATTACTGTTTATAATAGTACTGCTACTACCTTTACTGTACAAATAATACAGCATAGAGCTTAACAGTAGTAAATAAAAAATAAAAAAAATTAATAATAATAGTAATAATACAAAATTATAAAAAGCTTGATATCACAGCGCGCACATCGCCGCAGTCGTATTCTATAACCGTCCACCCAGGATGACGTCATGGACACCGCAGGGGACGGGGAAATAACAACCATGTCCCTCCTCGCGGTTGGGCAGCTGCTATCTTAATAATATATTGGCTGGCGGGTACACAGGTGCTAGGTGGTCATCTGACGTTTGATGTGAGTGTCGAGTACCATAATAGGAGTACCGAGATATAAGTAGATTAGATACCTGGACCAATAATGTTCATGAAAATCCATCGGCGTAAGCTATGCATAATAATTAAATTTATTACGATTTACGTCATTAACTTTAAAACAACCTGCTTGAAATACCAATCTTATTTCATCACGTTAATTTAGATAATTGCCAAAAGCCAATAATATTGCTGTTCTCTAAGTTTGGTTACAAGTTACAACGATAAACGACACATGACAGAGTTCTAAATGAGCGAATGCAGGAAAAAATTTCGGGAGGGGAGTGTTATTGAATATATGTAAACTGTAAAATGTTATTCATTAGTATGCTTTATTACTCATTATGTAATATATATAAATGCAGTGACGGCTCATGCTATGGTGCACAGGAGCACTTGAAACACCCTTAAAGAATTGTATGAAAAATGATTTCAGCACCACCTTATGTGAACCTCACGAACCCCCCCCCCCCTAGTAATACTTATTACAATAAATAAAATTCTAGAAATATGAAATGGACCCCCCTCCCCGGCTAATTTGTATTTATAAAAATACAAAATATATAATTTTAGTAAATACATACGTATATAAGTTATAATATATTTTAAAATTATAAAATATGAAATATTAGTAAGTTCATTAATCTTTTAACCAATCATCAATTAAATGCATACTAATTATGTATTTATAACTTACATTATATATAATACGTCCGAAAAGTCGGGGGTAAAGCCCCTTAGCCTTTATCCCCTTGGATCTGCACCTGTAAAATGTTCATATGATTATATAATAGTAGGTACATAATTTTAAATTTTAATCCGTTTTATAGTTTGTAGATAAGCACTGATTTGCTAGTACACAATAGAGGCTAAAAAATATTTCTATTCTTTAGTAATCTGTAAAATTTGTTATAAACTATTAGAATATAAGTACGATACATAGGTACGAGTAAATATATTTTTATTTCAATGCATAAAAGATACTAAATTATAGTCAAAATAATTATTCAAGTCTACTGTAAATATTTTTACATTAATTGTATATAATGTGCTGGTCTCTAATTATTGTAACACTGATTAAGATATGTATTAGCCCATTTTATGATAATATTATTAAAATGTAATAATTAATAAAATCAGTTTCCTCTCGATAAGCGCTCAAAGTTCAAAAAATCTAAATAGCTTATAAACACTATTCATCTATAAACAGGGCCGCATTTAAGGAGGGACACTGGCTACAACTGACCCGAGCGCCAGTTTTTTGGGGGCGCCAAAATTTTGTGGTCGGAAATTTGCTCACTTGTGAATTATTGAAATTTTAAAATTATTATTTTTTTTTGTTTTTAATAATAGTATCATAAATTAATGTTAATGTATTTAATTTATTAATATATATTATTAATGTATTTATAGTCATATAGCTATCAGCGATCCAGAATACTATTAATATACCTAATATCAGTTCTCAAATTTGGTGTGATAATGTCAATAAATATAAGTTATTTATAATAATACGGCGTATTATGTTATCGTGTGCGGCGTGCGGTGGCGTGCCTACTACACAAAAATAGCATTGATTTTAGAATATCTAAAATGTTCATGAGGATTTATCTCCTATATTTTCCGTGGATAGGTTCTTTAGAGGGGTGCCAATTTTTTTTTTGTGCCGAGGTACAAAATTACTAAATACGGCGCTGTTAATAAACCATAGTAATGTTTTGTCTTTATAATTATTTATTGGTACCTACACAATGGTATATGGAGGGTATACGGAGGTATACGTCGTATACCCAATACGCTATTTTTATCCATGGCGTACCTTATGAGAAATTGATGATACGCGGATATACGGCCGTATCTAGCGTATAGCTTGTGATTTGACAAATATAAATAGTAATATTTTTGGTTATATTTATGACGTGATTTGGTATCGGATATATTATTATTTTTCTATTTTTTTTTTTTTATGAAAAATTCAAATTTGTTTTCATTAGAAAAGTGCGATCCCAAAGACTATACGAATTCGTGGATGATAAATCATAGATCAGCAGAAGACAATAGAAGTAAATTATGTCACCCAGATGTAGATCCGAATAGTGAAAACAAAATAAGTCTTTGGAGAATACTGACGTAAAAAAGAAAAGTAATCATGATCTATTTTTTTTTTGATTAAATTTTTTTTGTTTAAATTTTTTGTCAATGTGACAGTAATAAACATGATATAAAATTTAAGCTAAGCCTGAAATTTTTTTGTATGTTATATTATAAATTTATACCATAAACACGTGCTTTTTAACTTTAAAAATAGATAGAGATATGAAGAGTGGTTAAATTGAAAATCAATAATCACTTAATAAAATAATTAGTCCATTTGTTTATCATGTAGAATTATTACAAAATAAATACAAAAGTATAATATTCTATCAGGTTCTAAGTGAATACAAGTAAAGTGAATATTGTTCGAGTGAAGCGAGAAAAAATTTTTTAGTTCCTACCATGTGATAGTTACTACATTAAATAAGGCGTAAATTATTATGTAAATTAAATATAGATAAGTACCTATTGTATCTTGTTAGTAATTCTTAGATAGCAGTGGTAATTTAACTCTGTCCATAGTAGCCCTCCCAAAAATATTTCCTATATACGCCACTGAACTATTGTACCTATACTCAGCAAAAGAAGTATATCTACTATGATCCTTAGGTTAGGTTAGGTCACGAAGATGAAACAATAAAAAATATGTTAATATCTATAACCATTTATTTTAGAATATACTATAATATATTCTAAAATCAATGATATTGCCAACTTGCTGTAAGTACCTACATACAAATCGATTGCATTTGATAATAATAACTATTTTTCGTATGATTATAACGGAGTTGATGAAACCACGAATTAAATAAAAATGTATGATGCTTAGTGGCGTATTTAGGAATTTCAGGGCAAGGGCAACACATGTTTTGCCCCTCCTCCCCAGTCAAAAAAAAAAATGTTGTTACTAATTAATATTATTTATTAAAACCTCTATTAACTGCTAGATATACAATATAAATACAAAATTTAAATCTTTGTTTTCCTTGATTCAGAACTAGCAAAATCATTAATTATTTTTTCAAAATCTAATTAAGTGGTTCTTTCAGTTTCAATTGTTAATACCGTTAAAGCCAAGCACTGGTCTTGTGTCATTGTAGGGCAAAAAAAGTTTTTTATTCTTTTTAGTGTGGAAAAAGAACGCTCTGTACTATAATTTGTAGATGGTGTACACAACGAAATACGTAAAGTTACTCCAGTATAAAGATAAACACTAGTAAAATTATGTTCTCTTATAAACTGTAACATCTGTATTGTTGTAAGCTTAACTTCAATATTTTTTATATAGCCTTAAAATTGTACACACTCATTTAGAAAACATGTTGTTAAATCATTTGCATAAGTTGTATCATTGTGTAAAGTACGAAATAAAAATTTTCCGCCCCTCTAAATCTTTAAAAATGTGCCGCTCTGGGCAACAGGACCTATGACCCCTATCTAAATACGTCCCTGATGATGCTTAATTATACATTGAATTATAAAAGTAAAGTTAGTTTTTGTATTCTGCAGCTTTTAAATTATTACGAATGATGATTATAAACTTCTTCAACCCTTATATTTCTATATTTATTTATTTGAGATTTTTACTAATAAATTTGACCCAACCATTGCTGTAACTGTTTTTGTCTTGGGCGTGATTTTTCGAGTTATGGATCAAAACGCATTTCATTATAGTATAAAACTCTAATTCGTTAGCCAAATATATCTATTCACTAAAATTATTGTATACAGTAGAATCCGCTTAATTGGGACACATTGGGCGGTGATCTATTTGTCCCCATTATCCGACTGTCCCGATTAACCGAATAACTAATAAACCGAAACTATTAAAGTGCATATATGTACATACATAATAACTTTATTTAAAAAATACATACATAAATACTTAATTTATTATACATTAATTGATTAACATACTTAATTTATATTTTGTTAGGCTGCAGAAAATCGTCCATTCTTCTTTGCTGTAATTTATTAAGACTTTGCTTATTGATAAAATCTGCACAAACGTCTAGCGAAGTTGTTGGGACATTTCTGTTTTCAATTTGCATAAAATATAGTCTCAGCTGATCAATGCACTTTTCTGCTTCTTTTGTTGTAATTTTGACGGGCTGAACGTTGTCATCGTCATCGCTTTCTTCATTTTGCAGACTTTTTTCAGCAATTTCATCAAGAATATTATCGTAATTTTTATTGTCATTGAAGCACTGCATACCATCATCAATTTTTATAAATAACTTCCCATTTTCTACGCATTGCATTACGTCATTTTCAATAGAAAAAATAGGAGGAATAGGTAAATCAATCAGTGGTATGAAACCGCAATGTGTAAAACAATGCTGAATCGTAACAGATGACACTTTTCTCCAGCTGTCAGCGACAAATTGTATTGCTTGTAGAATGTTTATTTTAGAACTGATATCTATAGCACATGTATATGGAGTTACTAAATTATCTTCAATAGCCTTTAAAATGTATGTTACCAGTAGTCCACGGTAATGAGTTTTTAAATTCTTAATGACCCCATATCGAGTGGTTGAATGATAGAAGTAGTATTTGGAGGCAGAAACTCAAGTGTGATATTTTTTAAATCTATCAAGTTTCGATGTGGTCCAGCATTATCAACAATTAATAAAATTTTCCTTGATTGTTTTCCAAGCTCTTTGTTCCAGTGTTTCAACCACGATGTAAATATTTCTGTTGTCATCCATGCATTTTTATTCGCTAAATAAGAAACAGGTAAGTTTGTTATTTTTATATTTTTAAAACATCTTGGATTTGCGGATTTTCCAATTATTAACAGTTTTTATCTGTGCCTGCCATATTACAACAACATAAAACTGTTATACGATCCATAGATTTTTTTGTGATTTTCAAGTGTTTCACGTTTATAGCACAAAGAACCATCCGGAGTCGCTCGGTAGAATAAACCAGTTTCATCGGCATTATAAATGTCCTGAGGAGAAAAATTTTTAAGAATTCCCGGTAATTTAGCTTAAGACCATTCATTAGCTCCGTTTGTATCAGCACTTGATTTTTCTCCGTGAAATCACTTGAATTTAATATTATTCCGATCCTTCCAACGACTTATCCAACCTTCTGTGGCCTTAAAATCACTATGTCCAATTTTTTCAGCAAAAAATTCAGCTTTTTGCTGTAACATGGGGTCCGAAATACGATCACCGCGTTCTGTAACAGCAGAAAACCATTCGTTCATAGCTTTGTCTACTATGGGATCTTTGCCTTCTCGTTTTCTTTTTCTATTTACAGGTGCACTTTTGTTGTCATTTAATTTTTCTTATTGTTCTCGAATATCTTTTTCATTATTTTTTAATCGGCTTAGTACCGATTAAGACGTGCCTATTATTTTTTCCAACTCACGAAGACTAGTACTATGAGGTTGGGCCTTAATTTTTTCCAGTATAGAAATGTTTTCGATTAATGTTAAATCTTTACGAGACATAATTGTTACGTATTAACACAAACTGGGAAACGCACTAAAAACGCACATACATTAATACACCGAGACGAAAGAACGTGAACTAAAAGTTTTCGATTTTGTACGTAGGTTAGTGGACTTATATCGTGGTAGTTGAAAAAAAAGAAATGATGACGTGTGTATATAAAATATAAAGAGCCATAAAGATTAACAGTTTCGATAAGAATATCGATCAAAATATCTAGTTAGACACTTTTATTTTTGTCCCTTATAATCTATGGCTTGTCCCCAATATACGAAGTTAAATTGCCTTAAAGGAATACATTCGTTCGGGACTATGCCAATTTGTCCCTATTAAGCGGTTGTCCCCTTTAAGCGGTGTCCCAATTAAGCGGATTCCACTGTATATGAAACACAAAACCAGCTCGTTGTACATATATTTTTTTACGCTCATACTTTTATATTCTTTAGTATGTAAATTCCGTAATAAAATATGTATCTTCTTAAATAATTTTCTTAGTTGATAAGAGTAAAAAAATATTATCAATAATTCTGATATTCTTCTTATTTCTGTCGAAATATTTCAACTCCAGAATGATACGAGTATATTATAGGAATAGCTACAAATAACGTTAGCATACTAACTCATCTATACAAACCGATCATCAAGGATAAAAATATATTTGATCGATTTAGGTATATAAGTATACAGGCCCATATTTGGGGGGTATGGTACGAGTAGGCACATGCCCGGGGGCCTCAAGTTTCAGTAGTGGCAAAATATTTTAGCAAAATTAATTTTAAAAATGTACCTAATGAAAAAAAATATATAACAATAATAAAAATATAATAGTATGTTTTATGTTATAATTTGTTTAATTTGTTAATTAAAAAAAGAATTAAACGATTTTCATTAATAAGTTATATTTTAATATTAAAAAATCTTGATTATGGACGAAATAATAAGTGTTGTTTTATTATTATTTATATTTTGGGGAGGGCATAAATTATATGCCCGGGGGCGCCAAATTTTTAAATACGGACCTGTAAGTATATAAATTTACATTTAATGCATACGGTTATTATCTTTTTTATGGATGGACACAGGTGTTATCATTGATGAAAAATATGTAATCAATTATTACATTATCAACAAGCAACAAGTGTCGAATCCATTTGTGTAGCTAATCATCATAATAGCACAGAATATATAAAATGGGTATGATATATGAAATATTTCATATATTCTGTGATAGTACTGATTATTGTTTTTTATAATGTGGTGATGTCAGCAATCATTCTTCATCTACTATTAATGATAGTCTTATGTAATATATTTTAATTTAAATTGTAGTATTACAAGATATATAGCTTTATTGCTCTTATAGTATAAAAAACAATTTTGTAAAAAATCATTACACTTATTGGGTTAAAGCAGGCTGTTAAAAATTATATAGAATATGACAGAAGCAACTACAGAAGTACGGAAAATGGACCCAGCATTAAGATTTGACTTAATCAATCTATTAAATATTAATGAAGGTTGGAAAACACTAATGACTAAAGTTACTGTTGATTGTAATCCTAACAACAATTTAAAGTACACTTATGATCATGTCAAGTAAGATTTGTTATTATGTATAACAAGTTAAAACATGCTCAATAATTTACAGGTTTTCTAAATGCATACATTATTATAGGTTAATAGAAAATGCTAGTAAACTACAACAACGCTTTTGTAGTGAGATATTTTTAGAGGAATGGGGAACTAGTGGTAAAATTAGGCCTAATCTTCAGACACTTATGAATTTATTATATGAAGTTAATCTGATACGTGCTGCTGAAGCTATAGCTTCTAAAATTTCGAAAGGTAATACAAAATTTTATATAATTTTGTACTAAATGGACTATGTTTTGTCTAAATTTACTTTCAGACTGCATGACCACTAGAATGACATCATTTAAAAATATTCTTGAAAATGACGAAAATACAGATGATTACAGTAATAGTGAAAATTTCAGACCTACCATACTAAACACTAGTTTGACTTTAAAAAATATTGAAAGGTATAAGCATAAATTGAAATATACAAATGTTGTTTATTACATTGATGCATATATACATCATAAGAAAAAATAATTGCAATATTATTTATTTTTATAGGTTTGATGAAATTAGGATACCTTATGAAACATTATATCATGCCACAAATGGATTTTCTGATTCATGTTTAATTGGGTCTGGTGGATATAGCAAAGTATTTAAAGCTGAATTAAATAATCGAACAGTGGCAATTAAACGCATGGAAAAAGTTTATGAAGAAAGAGATATTAAACAATATTTGAATGAAATTGATAATATTTTAAAATTTAAACATGTTAATTTATTACCACTATTGGCAATATCAGAGGATAAACACCCATGTATTGTATACGAATTTATGGAAAATGGTTCTTTACTTGATTGCATTGCATGCAAAGTATGATCTCGGGATTCACGGTTTATGCATTTTGTAACTAATTCATAATTATATTTGTTAGGAAAGATCTTCACTATTAAATTGGAAACTTAGAATAAAACTTGGAATAGAAGTAGCCAGTGGCTTAGTTTACTTACATACTGCATTTGAAACACCTATCATACATCGAGATATTAAAACTGCTAATATTTTACTAGACAAATTGTTTGTTGCTAAAGTAAATATGTATTTTCTGTTAGTTTATCATTTTTTTGTAATATTAATTGAATAACTTATAAAATATTTTTGTTTTTTAGTTACATTTCTTGAGGTTAATTAAAGAACTTTCTAAATACAGTTATTACCATGGCTCGTAAGTTCATGCATTTGCATATCAATCTTGCAAAGTTGTATTTAATGCTAGATGACATAGAAATCCGTTTTAAGATACCACAGTTAAATATGTGAAATCTTATTTTGCATGTTTTTGCATATTTGGTATGTTTTTGTATATTTGGCATATTTATGCATATTTCTATTTTATTAGGCATATTATACATTCTATTAGAATCTATCAAAAATTTAAATGGAAATTATATATAAAATTGAAAATATATATTGTATTATCTTTTCTTTTTTTATCTTCTTGATACTCGTACATTTAACGAATAAATTTGTTTCAAAAGTTTCAGATTTAAAATAAATTACTGACAAAGACGTAGGTACATTATACGTAGTTCATGAAGTCTCAAGAATAGTTTTAAATGGTATTTAAAATTTTTTTTTTTTTTGTAATTATGGTATAAAGAATAAAATATACTATAAAAAAATGAATAGATAATTCATGTTAATTCAAAAATTATTTATGATTTTTTAAGAAAGCATTTTTTAAGTGCATATAAATGCATATTTTAAACTTTTTAAGTCATATTTCAAAGCATTTTTTGCCAATTTTAAGTGCATAAATGTATGCTTATTTAGACATTTTTTAGAGCATGAACTTGCGAACCCTGGTTATTACTCTACAATGATAAGAACTCCATAAATCAAACTAAACCCTTGGTCCACTCTATAATTAGGAGAGAATACACGTATAATGCTTCTCTCAATAATTCAAAATGTCTAGCTTTGAGAGATATTTTACACTTTGAATATTTTTTCGTCAGAAACTCTATGATTTTAATTTCTATATTGTATATGGGCTCAAATAAATTTGTTGTAGCAATTATTTAACGATTATTTATAAATAATGTATGTAAATGATGTACTCATAATAAAATTATATTAATAATATATATAATATAATTATATAATTATAAAATAATATATTATTTATATAATATTAATTATATTATATATAATATTAATTATATAATAATAATTATATATATATATTAATAAATGTCAAAACAAATGTATAATAAAAAATAAAATTGTTCACATCTTTATTTTTCCCCAAGATTATTCACAAATTCAGTAAATTGAAAAACTCAATAAATTGAATTTTCAACTCGGTCTCCTGAATTTCAAATTACAGAGTGACTACTGTATCTATTTTAATATAGTCTTTTGTGGTTTGACATAAATAAAATTCATTTATTGTTAAAACCTAGTTAACTGTTTATAGATTGGAGATTTTGGATTAACTCGTATTGGAGATAATACAATGACATCTGAAGGAAAAGGAACGTCTGCCTATATGTCACCTGAGGCATTTAGGGGTGATGTATCTGTAAAATTAGATGTTTTTAGCTTTGGAGTTGTACTATTGGAATTATTAACAGGATTACCTCCTTTTGACGAATTTCGACAGCATCGTGACTTGGTATGTAATTTGAGTTTTAAATTAAAAAAATTGAAGTTCATTTATAAAGTGTACCTAGTAAAATTATTGATTATAAATATAAGTATTTAAAACCAATGGTAGATATTAGTTATATTGAAAAGAATTAATTTATATAGAAATAAGAATAGATTTCAATATTTGTTGTTAATTAAAGTTGACATTAACAGTTTCTATTGTACTCTTTCACTTGATTTTAATTGACTCTTTTTGCTTCTAGTTAACGCATATAATTGAATCAGAGAGTCCCATTGAAGATTTACCAGATAAACGTGCTGGAGATTGGAACAAAATGACTGTTGAGAAAATATATGAATTGGCAAAGCTTTGTACACTTGTTTCAAAAAGCAAAAGACCTTTTATGTATGGAGAAAGAGGTGTTTATGTAGCCCTTGAAAAAATTCAATCAGAAATTGATGGATATGTATCATAACAATTATTAATTGAACTATTTTATGATTATAAAATAAAAATATAATATAATTAAACAATTGTATAATAATATTCATAATATGATAAAATAATTTAATATAATATAATTATTTTTATTATATTAACTCTTTTGTAAAAATTAATAATTACAATTTTTTTTTTACTACAACTCAGTCTTGAGTTAAAAATATTATTTAGTCTGTGTAAATGTAAATGAAATATTATTTTGAACTATATAAAAATAATTATGTAATTATGTAATCTATAAAAATAAAACTTAGTATTTTCTTTGATTTAAAATTATTAACTTAAAACCTTAAGGTCCACATGACAATATAACCATACAAATATTTAAGTTATGTAAAACATGATATAATATAATAATATAACATATATAATATAATATACATATATAATATAACATGATATAATATTTTCAACTTCTTTTTTGATGTATTTATTTATATTTAATTTCAAACCAATTCCACAATTTTGGTGAAAATTCATAGTACAAGAAATATTAGCTTAATATTTAGCTTTTAACAATTTCATAAGTTTTTCCAGTTTCATAGCTTTCATCAAATTACCAGCAATTTTAAGTTTGCCAGTCATGTAGGCATCACCAGCTTTAAGTTTTCCTAAAAAATTAATATATTTTACTAAGTTATCAAATAAAAAATAAGATTAAAATAAAACTGACCATTAAATAGTTCTTCTATTTTATCTGCTTCCATTGTTAAAGTAGCATCAGGTGCAGAAGTTGGTTTTCCTTTTCCAGCTGATCCGTTTCCAGTTAAATCAACATAGTAAGTTCTATCAGCATCTCCTAAAAAAAAAATTTTTTTTATACATTTCAGATAATAATTTAATATTATTTACACAATAAGCTAGAATTGATAACTAAAATGTTTAAAACTATTAATTAATAATCCTTCAAAGGTACATTATGAATGAATTATGGTATTTATTTAACAACTAAAACCTATTAATTTTAAAACAATGATATCCCCACTTCCTAATAATTGCTAATTTTCCTATAAAAAGAGGTAATTTATGACACTTGGTTTATCATACACTACAACTATATTATAATACAAAAATATTAACAATTATAATTACCTTTTACAACAAACAAAAAACATGCATTTGTTCCTTTAGCTACTTCTGGCGTCAAGTGGGAATTGATTTTAGTAAATATTTTCTCAATGGCATCTTCTCCATTAGATTTTTCAGCTATCTTATTTCCTTTGCTGAACCCATCATGAGGAGCATCATCCAAAAAAAAATCCATCATTAATTCACCTTTATAAGCTGTAGAAAAATATTTGTTAGTTTATATATTGATTTATAATTTAATTAAAAATTCAGACATATAAGAACATAAATTATAACAATAGAATCAGAAGAAAAAGTATTAACTATTTAACTCAAAATAGACTAGGCTAGTAAAAGACAAAATTAACTAATTATTACGTATTCAATTTAGTTAAACTACGTATTTATATTATAATAATAATTATTCAACTAATTGAATTAATTTTTTAATAAAATAGTAAATATCAATTTTTAACTTATAAATTTGGTACAATAAAATAAATATTATATATATACATATCAGAGCGTATCAAAAAATGATTAAGGGTTATAATTATAATGTAATAATAGTTGAGGGACATTTACATTTCTGAAAATTAATTGGGGTACTTTGTTACCCAGCATCACCTTTCAAGTCAACGAGTATATAACTATAAATCAACTATGTAATGGCTAAACATTTAAAATTAAATTACTGTGATGAAAAATGAATAATATTCATCAGTAGAAAATAATTGGTTTTAACTATCACTAAACCAGACTTGATTGATCAAACTGAAAAAGTTTAGATGTTGGTTTTAACCTTTTTTAAAACTAATTAATTTTTTTATAAAATATTTATATAAGAACCTTTTTTAAATAACATTCTACTAGTAAATAATTTTTGTTTAATATTACTTAAATTATTAAATAGTTTTTAACCACTTAATTTGTTATAATACTAACTTGGATCACTGGCATATTGACTAAAGTCAGTGATACCTTCTTGCTGTAAAACTTCATCATCTACTAAAAATTGACCAGTACAATTTTCAACTGACCGACTTAATACAGCATAAGCTGCATCTGCCATAATTTCTGGATTACGAGATAATTTTTTAGCATCAGAAGAACCCGATAACATTTCAACAGCAGCTGTATATATAGCTATAATGAAATTAATAATTAATCTTATTTACAAAAAATATAATTTAAATTTAAAATATAGTCGTACTTTATTCCTGTGAATTTAAGAAAAAATAAAGATTTACATACATCTAGAAAATAAGTTTAAATACAAAAAAAAAACTTAAAAATCAATTTTAAGGAAGTTGTAGTGCAATAGTACTTTTTTATATTGAAAAAAAGGAATATAAAACTAATTTATACTGGTAAATACATTGTAAACAATAAATTAATGTCTGTATTTTAAAACACACGATTGACTAAAAAAATAATTTAGAAGTTTATTTTATAATATTAATTTTTAAAGTTTTAAATGTTATGGTATAAGATATCAATTTGATAAAAAGAAATACATTTTTTATTAAAACTAAACTCAATTCTCCAAAATACCAATAAAAATATTAAATAAATGTAAGAAAAAAATAAATGTGCAGTTAAAATGAATAAAAATAGCAGAATATAATTAATTTAATATTCTAATTAAGTTCAGAGTATAGATTTTAAATATTTCTACATTGTATAATTTATTTTACTTTCATTTAGTGAGAAGTAATAAATAATTTAATTTTTTTTATATATGTTTTTAAATACAATTGTACTTATTTATTACCAGTTCTTGGCCATAAAGCATTTACAGCAATGTTATCTGCTTTTAGCTCAGCAGACATTCCTAATACACACATTGACATTCCATATTTGGCCATTGTATAAGCAACATGATCTCTAAACCAATTAGGATTCATGTTTAATGGAGGACTAATATTTAAAATATGTGCATGTTTGCTCTTTTTTAAATGAGGTATACACATCTTTGATCTGAAATAATAAACTATTATCAAAATACATCTTTTTAAATACATTTTTATAATTTTCAAATGATTACACTAAAAATGTTCCTCTTGTATTAATATTATGCATCAAATCATATCGTTTCATTTCAGTATCTAAAGTTGGAGTTAACGAAATTGCACTCGCATTGTTTATAACTATATCAATACCTCCAAATGTACTTATTGATTTATCAACTGCATCAGCTACTTGACTTTCTTCTCTTACATCCACTACACATGGTAAACATTTTCCACCAGCATCTTCAACTAAAACATAATATTTATAATAAATAATTAAATATATTGTGACATCATTGAACCACTCTAATATATGTAATAAAATATAATTTGTTAACTATTCAGTAAAATAATTTTTAGAAAAATTGATCTTCATAAATATTTGTACTATACATTTTTTATACTTAGAATTTAATTAAAGTTTACCAAAAAAGTATATATTTTTAAATTATTAAATTATTATTGAATAATAAAAAAGTAAAAATATTTAATGCAATTGTCATACACAAATATTTTAATTTTATTATTATAGTTTCTTTACGCCTATATAAGGCAATTGAGTTCATGGCATTTTTTACAAAAATGATATAAAATATATTTAATAATGATAATAACAATACTTAATACAATTATTTAATAATAATGATTTATTATCTATTTCTATATTATGTATATTCTCAAAAACATATAAAATGTTTTATTAACTTAAAGTTATACTTAATACATTAGGTGATTTGAAATTCGATAAATAGACATAAATAGACAGGAAACAAATAAAATAATATATGAATTTTAAACTACAAATCATAGACTATCAAACATGATTGTTAAGTCGACAGCAAAAAGTTTTTAAAATAGTGTCAAATATGTCAAAGTAACAAATATAAAATGCACAATCATGTTTAAAAGAAAAAAATTTACTTTATCCCATTCCCCACTTGCAAACGCCAAGTACACACTAATCAGGACATAAATCGCAAGAGACAAGATCAACATATGCCTACAACTAGTAGAATAAAGAGGTTAGTCTTAGATTCCTAATACAACATTATTAACAAAAAATTATATGTCTTAAATATTATAAATATTTAGAAGCATGATAAAAAAACATAAAACACAAAATATGATAAGATAAAAAAAATGTATTACTTTCTTTGGCAGCTGAATATATAGTTCCAGGTAATTTTGGATGAGGTTCCGCTGTTTTAGCAGCAATAACAATGTTGGCACCATCTCTGGCTGCTTTTAAGGCAATTGCTTTACCAATACCACGACTTCCTCCAGTGATGAACAAAGTCAATCCGGATAATTTCCTAGAAATTTAAAATTCAGTTTTAAATTTTTATGTAAAATCAATTAAATACATTATATTCTATTACACACATACCCAGTATTAAGCATGGTTGACAATTGTATTGTATAACTGTTTAAATATCAAGTACCTAAGAAACTATATGTTAACCCAAAGAGAAATTAAAATGTATTATTTGGATTTATCTAAAACAAGGAAACAAAATATAAAAATTATTTTACTGATAGAAAGGTAACACAATATAAACTTACATATGATCGATAACAAACGACCCTGACCTAAAATTAATATGCTCTTGTACGAAAATACATTTCCACTAGTAAAAAAATAACAAATAAACCAGCACAAAGTTATCAAATAGTTATTTAGATTAATAACTAATTTGCAAGAAAAATAAAAACGTAATATAATTTAAGAACAATAAAACTAAAAAATAAGTATCAAGTTAGAATGGTATAATAAAGTTCCGTCAAGGGTATGTTTCTTCAAATTATATTAGTCAATCTATGACGTCTACAAAAATGATAATTGTTAATTTACTCATATCACAGAACAACTGTTGATCTGTGCCATAGAGTAATGATAGATAAAGATATATCTTTATTCGTGTTCTACGATAATATCAATTACAGAACCATTCTTATCACTAATGCTACCACTTATTATTGTTTGTGCTATTATCCACCTTGTATTATTGTTTTGTGCTTGTATCAAACCATATAATTATTAATTATTATTTACCTTATTTAGATACCTTATTCTGAGACTTTATCAATGTATCATTTATATTATTTATAAGAACCAAGACCTTTCTACAATTCAAATAAATTTGTGCCAATAATAAAACGTTTATATAAACTGTTAAATATGGAGAAGCCAGTATTAGAAGAAATTTCAAAATTGTAAGTATTTAATGATTACTTTTTATGTATGTACAGTTGAAAAACTGTTGAGCTGTCCAATTTAAGAAAAACTACAATATAATATAATATTGCATTATAAATTGAAATTAATTCACTAATCCTATTTATTTTAAGGGTTGCATAATAATTTTCAGATGAAAATGTTTTCAATTATTTAAGTTAACTTAAACTGTTATAAATATAAAATTACTTGTATTGATATTGTAATTGTACTTAACTATGTACATTTTGATACTTTTTATTGAAGTGTTTATTTATTTAGTTTGCATTTCAAAAATGTTATTTACTTTGTTTAAAAGATAGTTTTAAAAAATTATTATTATTATGAAATTTTTTTTTTTTAGACAATCAGAACAAAATGTAGTTGGTGTTTTGGTATCAGATAACAGAGGTTTATGTATTTTTTGTGAGTTAATAATTTAATTATTTTTAAACTATTACTAATTGTTTTTTTTGTTTATTACTATTGACTCATTAAGCTTCTGGAGAAGTTAAATCTGATATAAGTGGCCACATAACATTCATTACAAATAATATATCTAAATTAGATAGACATGAACCATATCCAACCATTGTATTGAAATCTGACAATAAGTATGCATTGAATTTAAATTTATATAAATATAATTCAAAATAATGTCCTGAAACCATTATAAAAATGTTTCATATTTTTAAATTATATAAATTTTAATTTTAATTATAAATTTATATTATAATAATTGTACATTAATTTTCAGGTCGTGTTTAATAAAAGGCTGTGAAAATTCTAGTGTTTCTATTTTGTATCAGAATAAACAGTAATAAATTGTTAATATTTTTCTGTTGGTAAAATGTAATAATATATATCTGTAATTTATGGTTATATATATTAAATTCAATATTATTTTTCCTTAATGTTTACATTTTAAAATAAAAATATCTATTAACTTAAAATTTGAGTTCATTGTGATTATTATTATTACTTTGATTATCATTTATTATTGTACTTGTTATCAATATTGTACCAGATTTGTAATCAAACTTTGAGGTTACATTTTGTTCCTTACTTCAAATTAGTTAAATATTTTAAAATGTTTTATTATAAAGATTAAATTAAAAAGTTTTTTTATAAATAAGGTATAAGTGATGTGGACTTTTTAAAAAAAATGAACTTTAAACTTCTTGTAATATGTATATTGAATTTTTATTGTACGGAATATTTATTTTAGTTGTCTTATTCATTGTATTATCTTTATTAATTGTTTGCTTAAGATGGCACTACACTATTAAAAAAAAGAAATGTCCAACTCAATTTAGCATAGCATTTTTCCATCCATATTGCAATGCTGGTGGTGGTGGTGAACGTGTGCTATGGTGTGCTGTTACGGCTGTTAGTACAACATACCCAAAAGTAAAAATTATTATTTACACTGGTGACTTAGATGTATCACCTGATGAAATTATCAAACGAGCAAAACAAAGATTCAACATAAATGTACCTAAAAATTTAGAGTTTATGTATCTACACAGAAGAAAATGGGTTGAAGCAGAAAATTACCCTTATTTTACTCTTTTGGGCCAAAGTCTTGGGTCTATTGTATTAGGTATGGAAGCGCTACGTTTATTCCAGCCAGACATTTTTGTTGATACTATGGGTTATGCATTTACACTACCGTTATTTAGTCTCATTACTGGTTGTAAAGTGAGCTGTTACGTTCATTATCCAACTATAAGTTCTGATATGATAAATAAAGTTATTCAACAAAGAGGAAAACGTATTACAATATCATCCATTAAACTTGTATATTATCAGCTATTTGCAAAACTTTATGGTTTAGTTGGCTGGTTTGCTGATTCTATTATGGTAAATAGTTCATGGACTGAAGAGCATATCAACGCTCTCTGGAAGCGTCCTTTAAGTACTTATAAAGTATACCCACCTTGTGATACATCTGATTTACAACGTTTACCTTTGGAAAGACATAAAAACAAAAAAATGAAAATTATAAGCTTAGCACAGTTCAGACCAGAAAAGGATCACCCATTACAACTAAAAGCCATGTACCATCTTAGACAAATTGTAAATGAACAATTGTGGGAAAATATTGAACTTGTATTTATTGGATCAACGAGAAATAAAGAAGATGAAATGAGAGTTGTTGATATGATGGATTTATGTAAACATTTATCGCTGGAAAATAATGTAAAATTTAAAGTAAATATAAGCTATGATGACCTCAAAAATGAACTTTCTGAAGGTAAGTTAATTTCAAAAACAAAAAACAAAGATTTCAAATTAGGCCTTGTTTTTATTTCTAGGATTGATTGGATTACATGCTATGTGGAATGAACATTTTGGGATTGGAATTGTAGAATGTATGGCTGCGGGATTAATTATGATTGCACATCATTCTGGTGGCCCTTTAATGGACATTATTATAGAAGATGGTGCAGGGCAAAATGGATTTTTAGCCACAAATGAAGTAGAATATGCACATGCTATTCATAAAGCACTTTTGTTGCCAGATACTCAAAAATTATCATTACAAAAAGCTGCCAGAGGATCTGTAAATCGATTTTCTAATCAACAATTTCATGAAAATTTTTTGAGAGCTATTCAACCATTGTTTAGTGTTAAAAAATTTAAGTAGTCAATTTATTTTAAATAAAATATTTCAAATATCATATTTTATATTATAAATCTATATTCCTTAAGTATTTCCAGAAAATAATTTTAAATTATTGTGTATATATATACTGATCAGATATAAAATTTAGATATTTACAAAAGTAATGTTAATGAAATTGTTAAAATTATTTTTTGCGTTAAATCATATCACTAAATGTGTTTCATTAAGTTTTTGATTAATTTTGATTATATATTGGACAAAAGGTTAATATCATACATTAAAAAATGAAATAATATAAATTACAAAAAAAAAAAAATGAATACTTTATAAATTTGGTTATTAATTAAAGTAATTAACAAAGTATTGTTAATTGTTAACACTACATTTTTATTAAAACACATTTTTAGTTATTTGTTAGTGCATAAAAAACTATTATATTAAACATTTTAATTTTACAATAATTACACCTTAAGTACCCTTAATCTCTTTTCATTACATAACCTACAGATTTTCTTAATTTTTTTTTTCAGTTTTTATGTTTAGTAAATCCTATTCACATTATTGCAATCTGTATATAAGTGTATATGTGCATGATTGATATAAGTCATTCCCCGATTCCTGTTTCCGGTATGGCTTTTATTTTTTTTTTGATCATCCACTCCCTTATAAAATCCCACATTAAAAAAAAAATAGATATACAAAACATAAGTAAATAGAAATAAAATTTATTAGAAAAACTGATGTACAATCTGATTATCAATGAACCCCAATCCCAGCAATTTAAATTTTTTTGTAATTTGATAAAATTAATAAAAAAAAATGTAGATTTTCCAAAAAAAAGAGTTATTAGCCCTTTTTACATAAGTATCTAGTACCTACCTACCTAAAAAAAAAATCTCAGGTGTAGCTATAGCCCTATAAGCCACATCTGTGCACATGTTTATATATAACTGTGTTATAGGTCAACAGTTGTCAGTGCAATTTAATTGTCAACAGAGCAGTTTTTGTTTCATTTTTAATAAAAACTTTTTTTAACCATTGAAAAACCAATGTATTTATAAACCAGGACAACTGAAAATTATTTTCAAAAATCTATTCTCTTAGGCTCTTGGGAGAGGGTCTAATTCAAATAGTGTAGGTATTATAGGGATCTATCTATAATACTGCAACTTGAAGTCTATTCATATATGTATGCTGAGATTTGGCAAATATTATACTTTTATGTAATTAAAAATAAAAATTACTGTAGACATGAATATTTTAGTTTTTAAAAATTAATATTTGTGTCTACTAGGTACATAAAGTAAAAAAATGGATGATCTATGAAAAGAATCCATGAATGGTTGAGATTGGCGTAGTCAACGAAAATAAACAGTTAATAGTTGGAACTATGACTACAGGAAGATAGTCACAATTTAATAGACAATATTTATAATACTGGTGGTATTATTAGTAATATACTTGTATTATAATTTATAACCTACACTTATATTAAATGTGTAAGTAAGCACCATAATTTTTTTCGTGTTTTAACATTATATTGTAGATACCTATTATCATACACTTTCCAATACATATATAATTATGTTAATAATCATAATATGTATTTCACTCATCAAACAAAACCATAAGACAACTTATTCTGTTAAGTGTTGAAACCCATAATTTATTATACATATACATATATATATATATATATTTATTATACTTAAATTAAATAAATCTTAAATGTATAAAATGGTCATTAAAATGTAATACATATAGATTCTATATTAAATATAGAACATGACAAATTTTGTCATTTTAAATAAAAAAAAAAATAAAGTAAAATATTCTCTTAATCTAAATTTACCGTTACATATTCAACTTTTATAAAAAAAAAAAAAACCATGCTTGTATAAAATAAATACATTTAATATATTATATGAAAAGTCTTATCATTTCTTTTGACGATTTTGCTATGTAATCTTTATTATATAATTTTTTCTATATAATATATTTAAATCCGGTTTGGTGGTGCAATGATGTTATTGGCAGGTGATTTTCGCCAAACACTACCAGTATTACCACGATCAACGCCAGACGACAAACTTAACGCATGTTTAAAGTCATTCATTTTATGGAAAGACGCTCAAATTAAATATGAACATGGGAATTGAATTGTAGAACGACCAATCTGGAGAAGTTTTTTCCAAACAATTGCTCGATATTGGAAATGGCAAAATACCTGTTGACTCATAGTCTGGATATATCATATTTCCTATCAATTTTTGTTACTATACTGAAACTAAGACCGAACTAATCGAGAATGTTTTCCCAAACTTCACTCAAAATTACAAAGATCATGTATAGTTGAGCGAAAGAGTTATATTGGCAGCAAAAAACGTTGATGTCAACGAAATTAACTTTCAGATTCAAAATAAGATAGCTGATGACATACAAATCGATTGATTCCATTACTAACCAAGATACTGTCAACTATCCAACGAAATTTTTTTCGCTGAAATTGCCTGGATTACCACCTCATAATCTGCAATTAAAATACGGATCGGTAATCATGATGTTGCGGAATATAAACCAGCCACATCTTTGTAATGTCACCCGACTTGCGGCGAAGAAAATAATGAACAACGTCATCGAAGCCAACATTTTGAAAGAGAAGTACAAAGGCGAAGACGTTTTGATTCCACGGATTCCTTTGATTCCGAACGACATTCGATTCATTCCATTCGACTTTAAACGGTTGCAATTTCTAGTGCGGCTAGCATTTGCAATGTCGATAAATAAATTTAAAAGGCAGTCGCTAAGTGTTTATGGCCTCAATAATGGAAATCAGTGGCGTAATTGTGGGGGGAGGGCAAGTGCCCCCTCTGACCATTTTTTGAAAGATAAAGGTTTAATTTTGCCCCCCCCCCCCCTCAGATAATCCAACAGTACAAATAGCACCTTTTGTTGATGAACTATTATGGATATTATTTAACAATATTGGTACCTAGTACATTAAGGTGGTCCTTATTTATGAACTACATTAATGTTATGTCATGGGCTCGAAATTTTATTTGGTATATTGACAAGATAATTTTGGTAAAATTTAAATTTGATAAGTCAACCCCTTCACGTGCCTCAAAGGGGTTAAAGTTG